GCAGGAGTGCATGGAAGGATGGACACAGGGAAGAGGTAACTGTGGGGAGGAAGTGGGAGGGGAGCTGTTGCATTGTGGTAAACTACGGTCAATGCCATGAGACAGAATACATGTGAACTGCTGTATGGAAAGTGAATTTGCTTTGTAAATCTTCACCAAATGCACAAAAAAAAAAAAAAAAAAAAAAGAAAAAGAAAAAAAATCTACAAGTCATCATTGACTCCAGCACTTCCCTGTCCTCCAACCCCAAATCATTAGTCATATGTGGTGGATTCTCTCTTGAAAGTCTATTAAATCGCTACTCTTCTTTTCATTTCCCATATCACTGCCTTAATTCACGTTACTAGTTTTCTTACATATTACATTACCATGGGCTCCCAAATGGCTTCTTTGCCCCTATCTCCTTCCAAGGTATTCTTCATACTGCAGCCTAGTGTTCTTTCTAAAATGCAGACCTAATTATGTTCAGAAAGCCACTCTTTCCTTGATCTCTCCATCTCTAGTATTAATCAAGGTAATGGGACAGAAGAAGGTCACAGAGAACTCCAAGTCACACTTTAACACTAGTCAAAATAGTGAATACAATGGATGTAACTGAAACTTGCTTAGCAGAACTGTAATATTTAGGAACACATTTGTCTTCTACAAGCCATCCCCAAGTATAAAGACAGTGAAGTATAAAAACAGTAGTATGTGATAGGCTCAGAAAATATCAATGACGGAAAAATTGTCTAAAGTTATTAGTTATCAAAATTGTCTTTTCTTAGTTAGTTGAGCTTTTTTTTTATATATAATACATGAGAATGGAGACAAGTACAAGATTCGAGAAACTGTAAATTAACAACAGACTGAAAAAGAAGGGAATGTTTTAGTTGATACGGAAAGGGTGCCACTCCATTACAGTTCACTGTGAGAGGATACAGACGTTTAGCCTTGAGCAAACACTTCGTAGAGTGAGTGGAAGAGTGTTTCCATCTCACAGCCTCTACCAACATTGTCTTTCTGAAACAACTAACAGAACAGTAAAGGGCACATGGGCTACTCATTCCTCCCGCACACACAGATGTCTTTCCTGTGGTAACTCGTCTGGCGCGTAGTTAAGGCATTTGGCTGCTAATCAGAAGGTCTGCGGCTCAAACCGAACCCCTGCTCCCCTGAAGGAAGATGGGGGATCTACCTTCCTAGAGACTTAACTACCTCGGAAACCCAATGAGGCTTGCTATGAGTCGTAATCATCTCGATGGCATGAGTTTCGGTATCTTAAGTAACCGGCACTGAGTGCCTACGTGCTCAATTTGCTGATTAAGTTACTCCAGAATCTGTAAAGGTTCGCATCTTGGAGCAAAGTTCAAGTGTTTCTAGGGGATAGGCAGGAGACAGAAAAGAGTGAATACAGTCATTTAGGGACTGCAATCAATTGAATACACACACCTCTAGGCTAGTTTAACTAGTCTGCCTACAAGCCCCTCAATGCCCTTCAAAATACAAAGCAATTTCTTCACGGCTCCCTTCAGCTGTGCTAGGCTTCACAGTGGCTGAGGTATGCCCAACGCATCCTTCCAGACACGATACTGAATTGCACGATCTACCTCACTCCAGCACTCAGTCTGGAAGTAGACACTTCCTTCACTAAACTCAATTTCTGTGGCCGAGTTACCAGCCAAGAATAGAAAAACCCGAGTTTATCCTAAGACTGGATTATTCCGTGCGACTTCTACAAAGAGCTCTGCTTCAAAAGCTGCCCCATTACCATAGGGCAGCAATTAGAAATTTGCGCGACGTCCGGCCAGCGTTAGTCCACATTCAGTGCTACGGGCCCGAAATGCGACGCTGGCGGGACTGGGGTTGAAAGAGAATTTATGCAAAGAAAAGCGTTCCTCAGGCGGCGTTCCGTGGGAGGTCTGCAGCTCGGTAAGCGCCTAGGCTCGGGCCTGTCGAGAAGGCGGCCCCACAGCACCGCAGTTCAGGGCCTTCCGGGAAGCCCACCTCTAGTAACCACCTTGCCAGACCAGGACTGGCGAGGGAACATCGAGCGGGGACAAGGAACCCTCAGGAAAGACCTACGTAGAGGCTGACGCACCCACGACGCTAGACACCGGCGGGAGACCGATTGTCACCCAAGGGCCGTGTGAGAGGGGCGGGGCCGAGTTGCGTCTCAAAGCTATTGCGCTGAACACTGGTTTCCAGCGTCCAAGCTGCGAGAGGGCGGAAGCTATCGACCAGCACCGGGGATCTGGGGGGAGGGGGGACGAACCCCCCACTGCGTGCGCAGGCGCACTCAGCGATCTTCTAGAGTGCCCGCCTCCCGCAGGTTCGGGGTGAGGCCTCAGGGGGTGGGTGTTAGGGGCGGGGTTAAGCACAGAGATCAAGTCCGCGTCTCGCGAGCTCCTCGCAGCCACCGGTACGGTCGTCGACACTGCCTCTGATCAGCAGGAGTCATGCTACCCAACACCGGGTAAGGGAATGAGGGCTCCATGGGGAGACAGACCTGGTCAGGCGGAGTGCGCGGCTTGATGGCTGGCGAGGGTAGTAGCCCAGTGGGTACTCGGACGGTGGGAGGGAAATGAAGCCACTGCAGCGTGGAGGCTCGCAGTAGAACTCTCGTCTGAGCCTACAGTCATCGCTTTAAAGTAACCTAAAGGGAGGCACTGCGGGGCAGCAGTCGGGAAAAACATCTTCCCCAGGAAAAGAACCGCGAGTGGGTTACCACACCGCTTCCAGGGAGGGGCGTGCGCTTCTGGCTGAATAAGTGCAAGTTCTAGGTGAAAGGTCATGGGGAACAGCTCGCGGACTCTAAGTAGACTTCACTTATTCCACATACTCAGTCCTGGAGTAATAAAATAATGAAATTCTTAAAAAATGATTTTCAAATTAGAAACAAATTGAAATAATACTGTAATTAATATAAGTAATGTAATAGTTAACAATTATGTATGTTGAGTAATCTGCCTGTTCATTATGTAATTTACTCGAAACATTCTGTAAGTTGAAATTGAAATGTACAGGCACGCGACCAAAAGACTTAAAAGAATTCAAAGGGGTGCGGTAGAAAGTGAGTCTCCCAGTCTGTAACATCAGGACCTCCCGGTTACTTTCTGTTAGGTTTCCAGATAGTTTATGCATTTGTAAATGTATTTTGTACACACCCTAAACACACATATCACGTTAAAAAATAGTAGCAGAATCCCTTCTGGGCTTGCTATTTTTACTTAATATGTATTAGAACATACTTTTTCTTAATGTAGATCTTCCTCCTCATTTGTTAATGGTTGCATATTATATGGATGTACCATACTTTGTTTAACCAGATCCATATTGTTGGATACCAAAAATTTCGAGTTTTTTGTTACTCCATCTTTGCTGCAGTGACTAACCGTGTATTCATCTGTTTGCACGTATGTGATATGTGTGGGATAAACTCCCTGGAAGTGAAATTGGTGGATCAAAGAGTATACACTGTAATTTTTGATAGATATTGCCACATGGCTCTCCAGAGAAGTTGCATACCTACAAGGATGATTGAAATTTTCTAATCTAACCCAAAGACAAACACTGAAATGTTTGCTATAAAGTCTAGTTAGAGGAAAAAAAAAAAATGACACCTCATTATAATAGTTAACTTTTGCATTTATTGCATCATGAGGAGAATGACAATGTTTTTTATATGTTTAAAGCAGTACTTCTCCCTCAAGTGGGGGGCATTTTGCCCTGCAGAGGACATTTGGCAATGTCTGGGAGATTTTTGATTGTCTAAATTGATGGGGATGCTACTGGCATCTAGTGAGTAGAGACCAGGGATGCTGGTTATTAAGATTTTACAAGCTTCCTACAACAAAAATAATCTGGCTCAAATGTCTGTATTGCCGGATGAGGAATTTTGGCTTAAAGCTATTTGTTTGTATTTTTCTTTGCTTGGCTTAAACAAGTAGATTTTGATTGATTGGTCAGAGTTCTGTATATTTAAGAAATTAGTCCTTTTTTCATATGTGATACAAGTATTTTTCTAATTTTTTTTATTTGTCTCTTGATTTTGATTTTGTTATTTGCAGAAGTGTTTGCTTTTATGAGGTCACACTTACCCTTTTCTTTTACAATTTTTGAGTTTTTGTAACAAGCCTGTTAACCCACACACTGCCATCAAGTTAATTCTGACTCATAGTGACCCTACAGGACAGAGTAGAACAGCTCCATAGGATTTCCAAGACTGTAAATCCTTATGGAAGCAGACTACCTCATCTTTCTACCACGGAGTGGCTGGTGGGTTCAAACTGCCAACCTTTTGGTTAGCAGCCAAATGCTTTAACCACTGTGCCACTAGAGCTCTTTAATAAACCTATTAGGTCATCTTAAACCAATATATATATTTTTAAAATTGGCATTTTTGTAGTATTTTGTTTATTGCACTTAGATTTTAAACCTACCTGAGATTTATTTTGGTATAGAAAATAAATTAACTCTCCCTTTTGTTTGAAATTCTACCTTTCTCATAAACCAAATTCTTGTATGTTTAGGGTTCTATTTCGAATTTTAGTAAAACAAGTGTAAATTAACACAACTTTAGCAAGTTGGCATTTTCCTCCCAATGGTACTGTGAAAGTTGGGACTTTTCTTTGAGATACCTTTTACACTTTGGTTCTATAGCTTTGAGCTGGAAGCATTTTTTAGTACAGACCTTGCCTGTGGTTTAAGAGGAAAAGCTGCATCTGCCTTCCTGACAGTGCCTGGGTCCTGGTACTCAGTGAGAAAGAAAATGCCCTTTTCCATACTAGGAATCAGTCCAACTGTGTTGAAGGCAAAAAAAATTAGGTTTTTTTTTTTAAGCAATAGTTTGGACATTTTCGTTTAAATACTTGTATTTCAAAAAAAGAAGGGGAGATTACAGACACACATATGGATAAATTAAGTATGTATTATGCATGTGTGTGTATTTGCATATTTTTAGAGAAAGAAATATAAAAAGATAAACCAGAAATTAATGAACTGGTTACTTTACAGGTAGTTCCCCGAGTGCACATTTTTATAAGATAAGTATATATGTTTTACAACATTCCTCAGGAGAGAAGAGGGGAAAGAGAAAAACTAAAATTGAATGCCAGCATAAATGAATGAACGCTACCAAATGTATAAGATAAACATACAGAGAAAAAAGAGCTAATTCAAGCGATTTTTTTGACATAGTAATTTGTACAGCTTCAAAGGGATTTGTTCTGAAGACAAAAAGAACTGAAAAGAAATCTTCACGTTTGCTTAGTAGATTTTTTCTTGGCCAGGATGAATATAATAATTTAAATACTATTGTTAGTGGCTTATAGTATAGGGCAAATGAATAAATATACTGATGATATTAGAAATGAGGATTCTCACTATGAAATAAATGAGGTAAAATATGGAATGAGGGAGGGGGTGGAAGAGGCTCATGGTGCTGGATTGGAATCGGAGCATGCCAAAACACATAGACAAAAATCAGCAGAGTTGAAATGATTCGTGTTCTAAACAGACCCATCAGGAAAAAAGAGAGAAAGTGCAAATTAATTTTGGAGTGGAAGAGGGAACCTCACTATAAATTCTGCAGTTGTTAAAAGGATAATAAGTTGTTAATAATTATAGTTGGAAGTTTTAGCATTCCTCTTTCAGTAAGTAATAAAACAGGTAGACAGAAAATCAGTAAGGATTTAAAAGACTTGAACATCATTGTCAGTCAGCTTACCCAATAGACATTATAGAACAATTCCTTCAACAAAAGCAGAACACACCTTCCTTTCAAACACACTTGGAACGTTCACCAAGATAGACTATATGCTGAGCCATAAAACAAGTTTTAAGAAATTCAAAAGGACTGAACTCATTCAGAGAATGTCTTCCAACCCCAATGGAATTAAAACTCAAAATCAGTAAAAGAACATTTAATTCATTTAATTAAAATATAACCAAAAAAAAAAAAAAAAAGATCTGGAAACAATGCAAGTATGTGGAAATTAAATAGTACACTTACAAGTATTAGCCATGGGTCAAACAAGATATCACAAGGGAAATTAGAAAATATTTTGAATTGAATAAATATGAGAAAACAACATATCAAAATTTGTGAGATGCAGCTAAAGCAGTGCTTAGAGGGAAGTTTATAGCTTATAGTAGAAAGGAAGGCAGGTCTGAAATAAATCATCTAGGGTAGAAAACCCAAAAATAAACCAAACACCCTGCCACTGAGTCAATTCTCACTCATAGCGAACCCCATTGGGTTTCCAAGGCTGTAAATCTTTATGGAAGCAGACTGCTGCATCTTTATTCCACGAAGCAGCTGGTGGATTTGAACCACTGACCTTTTGGTTAGCAGCCAGATGCCTTAAGCACTACACCACCAAAGCTCCTTAAAGTAGAAAAAGAAGAGCAAATTATACCCAAGGTAAGTAGAAGGAAGGAAATAAAGATGAGAGGAAAGCAATGAAAGAGAAAGTGGCCAAACAATAAAGGCAGTGTAATCAGTAGTTGGTTTTTTTTTAAAAGATCAATAAACTTGATAAATCTCTATCCTGTGCTGCCCAATATGATACCCATTAGCAGCATGTGAAATCCTCCAATTGGACCGATAAGCAGCATCACAGTAAATGGGGAAAGGATTGAAGTTGTCAAAGACTTCATTTTATTTGGATCCACCCATGGAAGCAGCAGTCAGAAAATCAGGAGTTGTATTGCACTGGGCAAATCTGCTGCAGAAGACCTCTTTAAAGTGTGAAGAGCAAAGATGTGACTCTGAAGACTAATGTGCACCTGACCCAAGCCTTGGTATTTTCAGTTGCCTCATATGTGTGTGAAAGCTGCACAATGAATAAGGAAGGCCAAAGAAGAATTGATGCTTTTGAATTGTGATGTTGGTGAAGAATTCTGAAAATACCATGGACTGCCAGAAGAATGAGCAAACCTGTCCTGGAAAGAGAACCTGTCCTGGAAGAGAAGTGCAGCCACAATGCTCCTTGGAAGTGAGAATGACCAGACCTACTTTGGTCATGTTGTCAGAAGGGACCAGTCCCTGGAGAAGGATATCATGCTTGGTAAAGTGGAAGGGCAGCGAAAAAGGGGAAGACCCTCAATAAGATAGATTGACAGAGTGGCTGCAACGATAGGCTCAAGCAAGCATAGCAAGGATTGTGAGTATGATGCAAGACAGGGCAGTGTTTTGTTCTATTGCACATAGGGTCGTTATGAGTCAGAATTGACTTGATGGCACCTAATAACAATAGCAGCAACATGTAGCTATTTAAACTTAAATTAATTGTAATTAAACAAAATTCTAAATTGAGTCCCTCAGGCACACTAGCTATGTTTCAGGAGCTCAGTAGCCACATGTGGCTAGTGGCTTCTGTATTAGGAGTGCATATAGGGAGCATTTCTATCATCATAGCTTCTTTTGGACAATTCTGCTTTAAACAGACCAATCAGGGAAAAAAGAAAGAAGGT